GCTTAAACACCGGCCAGTATATGTATGTGTGTGTATATATATATGTAAACCCTAATCCCTAAACCCTAAACCTTAGACCTTCTATATACCTATCCATATACCTATCTATCTATCTATCTATCTATCTATCTATCTATCTATCTCTCTATATATATATATATATATGTAATGTGTAGGGTGGATCACCATTGGGAGGCTAAGGGCCTCGGCTCCGACCCTGTAGCGCTCCTACCCCAAGCCGCGACTCTTCAGGTTCAAGGTTCAGGGTATTAGGGTTTTAGGGTTTAGGGTTTAGGGTTCTAGGGTTCTGGGTTTAGGGTTTAGGGTTTTACGGTTTTAGGGTTCAGGGTTTAGGGTATTAGGGTTTTAAGGTTCAGGGTTCAGGGTTTAGGGTTGAGGGTTGAGGGTTTAGAGCATGAAGGGTTGAGGGTCTAGGGTTTGGGGTTTGTTAGGGTTTAGAGCATGGAGGGTTTAGGGTTCAGGGTTCGGAGTTTAGGGTTCAGGGTTCAGGGCTTAGGACTTAGGCTAAAACCCCTATAGCCCTGTGTCCACGTGGTTCTTACCTCCGCGCTCACCGCAAGTTTACAAACAGACAAAGATCCCACATCGTCTGGTATGCAAAACCAAAGCCCTGTAGGGGCCCTATATGGGTAGTTGTCAAAATTATGGTCTCTTTTGGGGTACCCTAAATAATAGGTGCCGTATTCTAATAAGGACCCAAAAAGGGACCATAATTTTGACAACCGCCCACATATTTGGGCCCGGGGGTCAGGCTTGAATTGCTTGAATTCCCAAGCCATCCCAAAGTCCTGGCCCCCCAATGCGCAAAAAATCCTAAACTCCTTGATTCTAAATAGGGTTTAGGGTTTAGGGTTTAGGGTATAAGCTTGAAAACAAGAGTCCTGAAACCCCAAAAGCAACCCCTCTGTGTTAGAAACCCTGCAAGGAGCTGTAAAGCACTTATACATCTCTATAAACCGACGGATGCCTCCATGCCCTTAACTGCCAAGACAGACTTCTCAGCCGCAAGAGCAACGGAGAGGACGTTCACGAACTCCATGGCCTGCTGTAGGGTTTAGGGTTTAGGGGCTTAGGTGTTTAGGGTTTAGGGTTCGAGTTTAGGGTTTAGGGGGGACTCCTTCCGAGGGACTCATGGGCTTCTATATCGCGTGTTTAGGGTTTAGGGATTAAGGTTTAAGGTATTAGGGTTTAGGTTTCAGGGTTCAGGGTTTAGGGTTTAGGGTTTAGGGGTTTAGGGTTTAGGGTTTAGGGTTTAGGGTTAACGGTCCCAGAGCCCAATGCCCACAAACCCTCCTTGACCCGGGAAAGATCACATCTCTAACTCGGCGCAGTATGTCATGCTGAGCAGCAGGACACAGAAGGACCCTATAAGGCCTTCATGCCGAAAAGTCCTATCTTGTTTAAAGGAAACTACAGGTGGGGAGTTTAGGGTATATAGGGCTTCTATAAGGCTTCCATAAGGTATATAAGGCTCCTATAACGGTAACTACCCACCTGAAAATGTCCTAGACTTTTTGAGCGGAGAGGCCCCGGAGCAGTAGAGCAGAGGCTCTGATAGCGGCATGCAACATGGGTTGGTGGACAGTGGTTTTGGTGTTGAACACCCTCTACGACGGTAGGGTTTAGGGGTATGGGTTATGGGTTTCCGGGACTGATGGCAACTCGGTGGCTCGGTTCATGTCCTCATTTCTGGAAACAGTATTCTGAACGTCTGCAGTCTTCTGCCAATCCACTTGTCTTAACAGCCTCATCGTGGCCCCAGAAACACCAACGGGATGAAATGACACTCCTTTATTACCCGATATGTGCTTCAATGACCCCAAACACCGAAAACCGAAAATTTTACAAAACTTAAACCCTAAACCCTAACCCTAATCCCTAATGCCTAAACCCAAACCCTAAACCCCAAACACTGAACCCCAAGAGCCGACACCCTAAACCCTGAAGCCTGAAAACCCCCTAAGCCTACACTTCGAAGTGACCGCCTTCTTCGGCTGGCTCTTCCACTTCATAGGCCAATCCACCAGGACGGTGTTGGGTGAAAGTCCTCCGGTTTAGGGTTTAGGGTTTAGGGGTTCCCTAAACCCTAAACCCATGCTTTGGGCTTTGGTTTCGGGCCCGACCCTAAAGCCTAAAGCCCCAGCTTGCCAACCTCATCGAAAGGCAATGCATGTGTGTATGTATGTTTGTATGTTTGTATGTGAGTGTGTATGTAATATATTATAGATACACATATACTGCAGCTAAGCAAGTGAGCAAGGGTATCCCGACCTGAGTTGAATTTACTAAACATCAATCCCCAAAGCCTAAAGAGATCCCACACTCCGACCGCGGGTAGAGCCAGCCTCCGATGCCACTGAGCTGGATGATGTAATTCCTTGGGTATGGGCGGGGGGTCTTTTATTACTTTGTGGCAGGCTATTCGGGATCTTATGGCTTGGGTTTAACGGTTCAAGGTCACCAGGCATTGAGAGTCCCATGGCGTAGGGATTACGGCTTCGGGTACGAATCTTCGGTGAACGTTTTTGCTGCCATCGAATGTGCTCGGAGCGACTGGGGATGGTTAGGCCTTCTCGGGCAAAAGCGCCGCACCCCCAAACCCTAAACTCAGGGAGAGCTTTTACCAAGAGAGGCTGGCCGATGCATCTCGTGCTCGGGCCTGATTTTTCTTTAATGGTCTGGGAAGGGTGGATCAGGTAAGTTAAAGAGTTCATGGTTAGAGTTGCTGTAAAGGGACCTGGCATGTGGTTCTAGGGCCTTTCCGGGTCCCAGCGCCCGCCCCCCCCCCCCCTGTCATGACGTTGCTCCACGATTCAAGGGCGCCGCTTCGAACTTTCCCACCCCGCACCAACACCCTCGGTAAGTTGACAAACGCGCAACCGGGAGGATGCGAGAGGGATGCCGCAACTTGACAACCAATTCGAAAAAATAAAGCTTGCCCCTGCCAGGAGCGGAGAACTACCCATCAGAACATGCATCTTTTGATGGTCATGAATATGAGCTTGCGTGTCATGAAAGCGGCTTGTGGGGATGTCTGGATAGCCACAGAACTTTAAACTCCACCCCTGAAGCCCGAAAACCCGAAACCCAAACTACTGTTGAATTCCTGCATTACCTTGAGGACCCTAAACTATGGGAATTCTGGCTTATTCCTTAATATGGGTCACGCAGGATTTATATCATCAACCGTATGTTGGGAGGCAGTCGAGGTGCACACCCTCGGACCATGATGGAGCAACAACGCACTCGGCAAAGCCTTGGATGCCCTCCTCCTTCATGATGCCTGAGCTTGGGAGACTTACGGGAGCTACAATTCGGTTGATGGACAAAATCCTGCATGACCTTATATACCTAAACTATGGGATTTATGGTACTATACCATATTTGGGTCATGCAGGATTTTGTCCATCAACAGTTACAAAGAGTCTCCATTGTAGTTCCGCTTGTGAGCTAAACGATTCCATGAAGGATCCTAAGGGAATAACCGGGTAAACCCCGTCTCAAAAACCCAACTAGAATGGAGACTGGAGGTGGAGCTTTGATTTTTGGATGTAGGATCTGCTATGTTCACCTAGGGTCTGGCGAGCTTCCAAAGTGCTTTCGGACGTAGAACTTCGGACATTTCCAGGAAAGGTCTAGGGTTGAGAGCACAAGCAACATGAAGGTTGGACTGTGGGCCGCGTCTGTAGGTTTTGCTGGAGTTTGGGTGTCATGACCTTCTTGGAGACCGTTCTTGGAGGTTCATGGGTAGCTATAAGTACTTACAGAAGTCTCCTAGTGTGGGTATCGCAGATACATAGCCGCGACACTCTTGATCACATCTTTCTCAATCCCGGCTTTGTGCAAAGCGTGCTCATCACGGTTCCTTCGCAGGGCTGTCACGTGGACACCGATCTAACAAAATTCGCCACGCCCTTGGGCACATGATGCCACACCTCAGACCAGCATTGACCGACGAGTTTAGTCCCAGTGCAAGTACGTGCCGAAGAGGCCCAGATAATTAGAATATATTCGAAATACTCAACCCTCAACCCTAAACCCTTAAACTAAACTCTGAAACCCTAAACCCTTAAACCCTAAAGGCCCGAATTTTTTGGATCAGATAACTGCTAGGAAGGTCCTAGAGGCCCAGATAGGGTCTTGGGACACGCTCTAGACACACTAGCCTGACTGCTTAGGGGTTGAGGGTCTATAGGGTTCAGGGTTTAGGGTTAGGGTCTATAGGGTTTAGGGTTTAAGGTGTATAGGTATAACGATATCAGGGACTTGCAGAGTTTAGTTCTGCTTTTCCACTCTTGCTCCAACATGGCAGGACCTCGAAGAACTGCGATTTGCAAGAACTTCCTGGACGAGGACCTACCCTTTTTTTCGGATCTGCGTGCCAGAAGATGTTCTTCCTTCGTTGAGGGGCTCTCAGTCTCACTCTCTGTCTCAAGGCCTTTATTCGCTTCAAGAGCCCCATAAGGCCTCTAAAGCCTCAAGCGACGCCACATTGATGCTCTATCCTTACATGGACACCTCGAACACATTCCGGGCAGAAGGACCCAACCTGGGCCCAAAAACCCATGGACCTGACTCCCAGAACAACAAGCCGTAATGCAGGGGCCTTAATTCTTAGAATAGAGTTTTGGGATATATTATAGATTAATTATTAATTATAATAAGGAACCTCCCCCCCAAAGAAAAATAATAGGTAAATATTGAGGCCCCTATATGAACAAGCCCGCACAGCGAACCCAAGAATTCCAGAACCCAAGTTGACTCAACCCCAAAGCCCATTACCCCTCCCACGCAGTCGAAACAAGATCATAAACTCCGAACGCCCGCACACCCCTAAGCCCCAAACCCGGATCAGCTTAGGACACTATTCCAAACCCTAATCTCTCTAGCTCAACCCCCAAACCCCAGACCATGTGTAAACCCTAGACCCGCGACTCGTGATATAGGGGCCTTAATAATTTGAATAGGGTTTTGGGCTCTTTTATCGTATAGTTGTAATAAGGAGCCCCCCCAAAACCGTATGTTAATTAATTATTAAGGCCTCAATAATTTGAATAGGGTTTTGGGCTCTTTTGTCGTATAGTAATAAGGAACCCCCAAAACCGTATTCTAATTATTAAGGCCCCTACATAAGTTTGCGGCCAGAAGTCTTGGACTCGAGCACACAGGCGACCACGGCGAAGCCATTCCCCTTTTTCAGGTGGGAGTAAAACCTCAGGTTTAGGGTTTAGAGTTTAGTCTACCTAGACCCTAAAGGGCCCTTGTAATCAGAAGGAAATCATACTCAGGAACCTCTGAAGTGTAGGTTCTTTAGGGTCCAGGTATGGTTTAGGCAACCCCAAACCCCAAACCGTTCTTGCGTCTTGGGAAGACAGCCTTCAAAACTCAAGGAAACCTCGAATGAGCATACTCCAATCGTCAAGGCCTAAGCCTTGTTCCGCAGGAAGCATGCGAACCCTGAACCCTAAGCCCAAAGCCCGAATCAAAAAACAAAAGCAAGGCACTACAGGGTTTAGAGTTTAAGGGTTTAGGGTTCAGGGTTTCCTTCCCCCTAGAGCTCCGAAACCCCTCACCTTGTCCCTTTCGAGACCCTTAACTGCACACTTCCTTACACGTCCAGTATGATTGAGGAACTCAAAATTTGCCTTTAAGCTTTAGGGTTAGGGTTTATACAGAGATTCTACCTATAGTCCCCATTGTAGTCCCTTTTTGTGGTTTAACCATTTCTATATTAAGGATCCTAAAAGGTAACCCCAAAAAGGAGCTACAATGGGGAGCATAGGTAGTACCCAAAAAGGTTCAAGGCTACCTACTTAACACCAGGCTTTCGGCAAGTCGCCGAAGAATCTCATGGTGTTTGATTCCCTTCAACTCCTCGTCGGCTGCAGAAGCTTCGGCTTAGGGCTTTCGAGATCAACTTTCAGGATCTAGGCTTAAGAGGAGGGTTTAGGGTTTAGGGTCCCCAAAGACTCCAAAACCCTTTAATTAAGGAATATACTTAAATCATGTTAGGATTCCTTTTCGAGTTTAAGGTATATTCCTTAATTAAGGGGTTTGGAGTCTCTGGGTCTATAGGGGGTTTAGGGTTTAGGAGTTTTTGGTTTAGGGGCTTAGGGTTTTTGGATTTAGGGGAATTCGGAATAGGGTTTAGGGAGGCTCTGTTTGCAGGCTTTCGTGTTGAAGGGCTCAAGGTGCGGAGGGCTTCGAAGGTATTTTGCATAGTATCGGGGCCTTAATAATTAGAATAGGGTTTTGGGGCCCACTCTACTCTAACTATAATTAAGGAACCCCCAACATAGTATAGGTAACTATCTAGGCCCCTATAATAAAACCCGAAGCCAGGCCCCTGAAGCAAACCATCGACGAATTCTCCGCGGCTTCCGGTGGCCTCGGTGAGGTTGCCTTCCCGGTACGAACCTGAAGAACCCTGAAAGCCTAGCCGCTGCAGAGCCCAAAAAGAAGCTTCATAGTAAAGGAATCCCTGGAGGAACTCTGACAGGGACACTTAATCTCAAGCCCCAAACCCATACAGAACCCTCAAAGGACGGAGAAAATTCCCATTAGGAGAAGACCCCTTTATCCATAAACCCCCAAACCCACTCCCCCTAAAGCCCTTCATCCGGAGCACCCTTGTAGCTGACTCTGGACCCTTTTGAAAACCCTTTAACATGTAAGGTTCAGGGTTTAGGGTCTAGCCCCAAGGGTTCAAAGGACCCAATAATCAGGTACTTAGGTTTCGGAGAGTAGTTATGTAGGTTACTATTTGGGAGAGTATATGATTATTAGGTCTTGGACCCTTAGGGTAGTGTTTAGGGTCAGCCTGAAACCCATTCAATTCAAGGAGCCCCAAACGAACCCGCAAAGCCCACTCAAGGGCCTACTCCCTAAACCCCAAGAACCTACACCCCAAACCCTAAACCCTAAATCCTAAACCCTAAACCCTTAACCCTAAACTGAACCCTAAACCCTGAATCCTAAACCCTAAACCCTAAACCCTAAACCCTATATCCTAAACCCTAAACTGAACCCTAAACTCTAAAATTTTGAATCCTAAACCCTGAATCCTAAACCCTAAACCCGGAACCCTAAATCTTAAACCCTAAACCCTCAAAAGAGGCCTCTGAGAGGTGGATCCGGTACAAGATCAAGACCTGGGGCTGCCAATTCACGGCCGCGTGGCCCCGCTCCTGGACAGGCTTCCCTTTCAGGGTTTTGGGCTTAGGGTTTAGGGTTTAGGGGATAGGGTTTAGGGGATAGGGTTTAGGATTTAGGTTTTAGGGTATAGGGAATAGGGTTTAGGGGTTTGGGGTTTAGGGTTTAGGGGATAGGGTTTAGGGTATAGAACCCTATATATATAGTCCCTTTAAACTGGGACCTTATTATAGAACCCTATAGTACCCTGAAAGGGAACCCTAAGGAGCTCACTGCGTTAAGGGGCTCCTTTAAATGGCTGCTGTTTAGGGTTTAGGGTTTAGGGTTTAGGGTTTAGGGTTCAGGGTTCAGGGTTTAGGGTTTAGGGTTTAGAATTTAGGGTTTAGGGTTGAGGTTTGGGGTTTAGGGTTTAGGGTTCCTTCAAGGGCTCCTTTACGGGATCCTTTTAGGGGGTCCTTTCAGGGGTTCCTATAAGGGTTTTAATTAGGTCGTTCTGTTTTTAGGGTCAAGGGTTCATGGTCTACTGGGCTGCACGTAACACTTAGAACAGGGTGTTGTGGTACACTGTATAGGTTCTATTATGGCTCATATTAACACAATCTTTGAGGGTACAAGGGTGAGGGTAGGGGGCATCAGGGCACAAACAATGAGACTGTGCGGCAGAGGGTGCGTGATTTTTGGACAATTGAGAACAAACTTTGGATTCAGAGTTTTGCGTTCATAGGCCATAAATCATAAAGCACCGGATAGAAACGCAAGCAGAACATGTCAATGTCCCGGAGTCCCGACATCCTCGCAGCAAGCATGTCAGCAAATGTTCTGAGGTCTTACCATTTCTAGATCATATGGAAAGAATGACACGATCTGCTCTAATTAATTAATTAATGGAAGGTGCACACGCGAACCCCTGTTTGGCTTCAATGACAAATCTATATTTATAAATGCCAGCGAGGTTCGGGCTTGATAGCCATGGGCTTGCACTACAGATCTCAAACCTAAAACCCCAAATTCAGAAACTGCAAAATTATAAACCCCAAAATCCTAAACCCCAAGTCCTAAACCCTGAGACCTCAAGTTTCTAGTTTAACTTTGCCAAAGACCCCTGAATTACTAAACAGTAAATAAACACTAAACCCTAGACCTAAACGCTGAACCCTAAACCCTGACCTGCCTCGAGTTGGATCAGAGAGTTGAGAGCCAGCTGAAAGCGAATACCATCCAAGGCGCTGCCCCACTCCTTGCTTCAGAGCTTTTCTGTGTTCAGGGTTTCGGGGTTTTGCTCTCTAGGGATTTAGGGTTCTTAGGGTTATTGTGTTAAGGGCAATTTTCAGATGGCTTTGTGGAGGATCTACAAACCAGGAGTGTGCGTGCATACAAAAACAGACAAGCATGTACATATACATACACACATGCATGCATGCATGCATACATACATACAAACCTACATACATACCTACCGACTACCTACCTGCCTACCTACCCACCTACATGCATGTATACGTATGTACATACCTGTACATGCATAATTACATACGTAAATACGTACATACACACATACATTCATACATGCAAACATGCATATTTGCGTGCATACCTGCATACATACATAGCCATGCCTAGATGAATGAATAAATGAACACAAACACGGACGAGCTGACAACTATCTATCACAAACTAACACAAGTGTGCACATACACATATACACATATACATCTTCACGTCTGGGTACATGCATACAATGCAACGTGTAAATTTAAGATCAGTTCTTGTAAGAACTTGCAGGTTCATGGGAAGTTATAGGTGGGGTTACAAGTAGGGTAGCTGTTATCAGCAACTTACATAGGGGACTTATAACCCCACCTAGAACTGCACATGAACCGGCTATTTGAGGTTCACAGCTTCAGGGTTTAGGGTGTGTGTGGCTGCAGCCGGTACATTTTCGAGCCCTCTAGATCAACATAGAGCACAAGCCCATGCTCAGCAAGGTCATCGGCCGCCAAAAGCCTTGACATGTAAGTGTTGAGCCTAAGAGCCTTACATTTCAAACCTCACGAATCCGAATAGCGTCAGATGCCTACGATCTTCCTAAACCCGGCAATAGGGAACCACGAAACAGGCTGACGGCAACATGTCTGTGAATTTCGGAGTGCTGAGGTCGAATCTCTCAGGAATCCTCTACGAAGCCCTCTTGCGACCAGTGATACGGCCAGCCGCTCGGGACCAAAACTGACGTGATTCCGTTTATATGGGTAGTTCTCTAAATTAGGGTCCCTTTTTGGGTCTCAAGGATACTAAAAGCGACCCTAATTTAGAGAACTACCCATATTAATATGACGATGAAGATATTGCAAACCAAAAGTTGCACTTTCGGCTTGGATAAATGGTTTTCTTGCACCTTCGTCATACTACATTGGGGTTCCTTGCGATAATTACTGTATATTTAAAACCTCCAACCCTACTCTAATTATAGCAAAACTATCATATACCCCAACACCCTATTCTAGTTNNTATAGTAGAATATTCCCCAAAACCCTCTTCAATGCATTAAGGCCCCTTCTGCAAAGGGGCTCGCTGCTCAAGCCTCCAGTTGATGTAGAGGTACAGGCCTCAAAGGAGAAAGGGGCTAGGCACATTAGGGTTTAGGGTTGGGAATTATGCACATTTCAACAGGGCGCCCCAAGATTAAAACGTAGGAGGCTTCCAGAATAAGAACCACACCATAAACTGCATGACTTTGCGGCCCACTAGTAAAGTACCTGAATAATGACTGTTCCTTGCGATTCCCTCTTGGAGTTTCTGCAAGTTGAACCCCAACATACTAATGCAGCTATGAAGGCCCGTTATCTCAGACATGCCCGACCCAGTTCAAGAACAAGTGCACAACTCTGAGACGTAAGCCGCAACCTCTAAGTTCAAGTGGTGAAGACCCCGATCCAAGCCTCAAGCCGAACTGCAAACTGCAAACTAAGCAAGAGTTACAACAAGTGCTACAAAGGTTACAACAATGGCTAATTCAAAGGCGATTCGAAAGATTGCTATACTCTTCCCTGAAGCCCTACGCTATGAACCAGACGTTGCAGAACCGAAAGTCTGAAGTAAACCCCGTAATATAGGGGCCTTGATAATTTTAGTAGGGTTTTGGGGCCTCTTCTAATACAAATACAATAAAGAACCC